AGTTGTTTGTCATAAACAAAACATTATGTTCCAACAATCATTGAAGGAGAGCAAGAAGTGGCTCTTGTCAAGGTGAGTAATAGATTCATAAATTATGAAAATGATTGGATTGTAGATTATGAATGCTCCAAATAGATGACGATTAATAATATCAGACTTAACCTTAATGGTAGCCCTGATAGGTATATTTATAATGAAAAAGTTATAATTACAACAGGAGTCCCACAATAATAAAAAATAACAAAACTACTCTATTACACCTCTCAATCTATGCAGGGAAAACAATGTGGAGATTGTCATAAAGAATAGTAAAATGTTGTGGCGACAAACACTTGGTAAAAATATCTGTCAGCGAGCCTGTGTGGGGACATAGTTAACACGGAGATAACCATGGGCCACCCGCTCACGAACAAAATGATAGTTAATATTAATATGCTTACTCCTAACACGCTGAATGGGATTAACTAAGAGATATGAAGCAGATACATTATCACAAAATAAAGTAGTTGACACGCGGACAATAACGCCCAACTCGAACAACACTTAGCGTATGTGAAGAGTATCCTGAACAATAAAAGCTATGGCTCTATATTCAGCTTCAGTGAAAGAGCAGGGGACAATGGGCTGCTTCTTGGATGACCATAAGATTAGATTTGGACCCAAAAAATCGCATAGCTAGAGGTAGACCTGCCTGTATCAGGACATCCATCCCAATCGACATCAGAATAAGCAATGACCGATATCGGACGGCGAGAAGACTGTAAGAGTAGACCATGAGTGGATGTTCCCTGAAGATACCTGAGAATACGCTTGTTGAGTTTTATTCCCGAAGATCCGAAAGCCCAACACAAGCTTTGGATATTGTGGGGATGTTAACTTGGTTTGGAAAGAGTATAAAATATAAAACAGTGAAATATTGATCAACTCAAGAGCCCATTTGCATTCAGTAATTCTGCGATTACAATGAAATTACCCAAACGGTAGGTAAGTACAAGAATACAAGAATAAGAGAAGTGTTTCTACTTGCTAAGCTTTGAGTATCAAAATGCTCACCCTATACAATGATCTAAACACAAGTATTTATACTAAAATGAGGATGGGTAAGCTGGACACGTGGCCAAATCTAGTAGGCCGTGACCTCTGCCATGTAAGCACCCATGCCCCTACTTGCAGCCTCCATGCTTCAGCATTAAATGCGGCCTCCACTTGCTAATTACCCGTTCGGGTATGGCGTTCGGTGAGTGGGACCCTGCCATAGGTATTTCCCCTTCATAAGAAGTATCCTGAATGCCGATCGGGACCCAGTCATAAGTGTTTTGGCGTAACTGTTTCCAATGTATAAGATTTATCCCGAACGCTGATCGGGAACTCTGGACTGCTTTGGGCCTGCTACTTCTTCCTCGATTTGGGCCGGAGGTATTGGGCCTGGACCCAATATCCCAACAACGCTTAACAACCAACATATGTGAAGTGGGGGGGGGGGGGGGGGCATGCATAAATTGAAACCAGGTTACAACAAAAGTAATATCTTGCCTAATCAAAGTCAAATACTGCAATGCACCTACCATACTCTTGTACTTTGTGGCGTCAGTAAGGAGCTCTCCATTAGTAAGGGAAAATTTAGTATGACTAGGAAATGGAGAGCGAACAAGTTTTAAAGTATGAAAATGAAAACGATGAAGAAGATCAAATATATACTTACGCTGAGAAAGAAATAGACCAGAGGGAGTACGAGATGAATGGATGAGAAAACATTTTTAATACTATTAATATTTTTGTATTTAAATATATAATCGGTCAAAGTTATATAGCAAATTATGTTTGAGTATGTTGTTCCAAAAGATTGAATTCCTAACCTGGCCCCTCCCACGCTCCAAATCTACAAAAACAGAGAATCTATATCTATATAATATATAAAAACAAAATAGTCAAGAGAAGTTTGGGCGGGAAAAGTGTGATTGGCACGTGAGAGGAAACATAAACGCATAGTCTGAAATGTGAGAAACTTAACAAAACTCATTAATACAGATAAATAATGTAAAAATATCATTACGGAAAAGCATTGGACTGCAGAGTTTGGCTACCAAAGTTAGTTGTCTCTTCGATATCCACAATACAAATGTGTGGTATGCACTATGTAGTTGTTTTATTTTACGTAATAAATTAAAGCTTTTGCTTTTGCCTTTTCGAATTCCAATGGTTTCAATTCGTCATTTAATATTTTTTTGTTTGCGACTAAAATTCTTGCAAGTTCATCTATATAAATCCTATCAAGGCATCAAGTTCGATCATCTTAAGCAGATATTCTCGCTGGTGTTCCATTGAATCAAACACTCCATATAACTTTTCTCCCCTTCAATCTCCGTATTAGAAAACAATTTTCCAGGATGAGGATGCACGGCTTTGCATGTCAGATTAATGTTTATACTCAGAATTTGAAAAAAAAAAAACTTCTAATTCTTCATTTGTTCATTTTTCAAGTTAGGGATTCTTCATCCGTGAAAATGAACTGCAAGTAGCACTTATATCCTCGCGGCTCACCTTTACATCTGAACTGCAATTTAGAATGATTGTAACTTTTTCCGCACGCTCCTGTTCAATGTATTTGGATTAGTTGATTCTCTAGAAGTCTCTTTTTATCTCTGCAATTTTTCGATTTATGTTTGTTGCAGCAGGAGTAGAAATATCATTCGTATGATGTATTCTTCAAATAGATGAAAGGTAACTTGAAGTCTTGAACACCAAAAAGTTGGACCATAATATAGCAGTTCGTATGCAACTGTGAAACTTATACATATGTCATGCTAAACTTATTTTTCTTTTATTTGCATTTAGTCCTTCTAAAAGTTAGTTAATTTGGTTAGAATTTAGTTATTCAAATGTGAAATACGAATCCTAACTAAGTTTTACCTTCTTTACTGTCAGGCTTGAAATCCCTATGTGAAGTCAATACAACTAAGGAACAAACTTTTGTTTTATTTAAATAGGTTTAAAGAAAGTAACCTGGATTCTTCTTTAAATTAGTTTTTAAATTAATTAGCATCGACGGAAAAAACTTACCAAAGTTACCATTACTCTTTCAAAACACACAATGGGATTTTCATTTTAAAACAAAATCATGCTCCTATTTATGTTCATTTATTTGAAAAAAGAAACCTAGATACAGTACTATTTCAAAACACACTATTGCAGACCCACTGAATGTATGAGCTGTTGTATTGCCTGTACATTTTACGGAATTATATAGATATCTATTCAAATATATTTTTCTTTTTTTAATAGTTATCTAATGGTATGCATGCTTGAGAATTGAACTTTTTACTTCCGTCATTATGAGACATGAGATACAAATCAGACATTAAGAAACAACCCTCAATTTTTCTTTGGTTTTAGAATGGTATTAAAGAAAGTAGCATGGTTTCTCATTGTTTTTTGAATCAGAATACAAATCAACATACCTGCCATCTATTAATGGAGTGTGCTAAATCTATAAACCAACACCAATGTGATATGAACCTAAAGAATAGAGGGCTTTATTATTATTATCTAAAAAAATATTCCAAGAATAGTCTTTATTATTAATAGGGCTGCTAAAGAAGCATCATATTATTGAGAAATTTACATTGCCAATTCATAGTGAGTATCTACTATCCTTTTGCAGTGGATTCTATGTTATCAGAGGCAGAAATTATAGCCATTTTATGGGCCTTGAATTGGTTTGCTAATCAAGGTTATCAGCATAACATTATTATAGAAGAAGCAGACTCAACACTAGATCTTTTGCGTTTTGGAACAAGGGAAACAAGCTGCTATTTCATCGACTCTTATCCTACGGAATACTTCATTATTTTAATGCCTCTAAAGGATTACTATTATACAAAGGTAATCCTTTCAAATTTAGAAAATATCCCTTTTGTTTAGATCTTAAAATAATTTGTCAAGGGTGAGGTTTTTATATATACCTTTGTCGTATTTTTCTTCTTTGAATAGTATGAAGCATGTCGTAAGCATCTAGGAAATAGATTAATGTTTTAATCATATTTTATTTTTTGTGAAAATAAATTATTAAAAGTAATGAAATACTAATTATATCATGTTTTTATGTGTATCCTTATATAAGTACATATATACTATGTGGATATATACTTTGTATCGTAGCTATATTCATGGAATATTTTTTTAGTATATTTATAAAAAGGTTAAAAGGAAACGGCTAAAATGAGATTGATATACATGTAATAAGTAAACTCTTAACTACATATAAATGCTTCGTATCATAACAATGTTAATAGAAAGAAAACTATAAATATACATGTGTATAAAGTCGTATAACCTATTCAGGAATATTGATCATTCAATTAAACAGTGAAAAACATGAATCTCATATTAGTGAGACTTTTAAAAAAACTCTGATATTAATTAGTGAGAGTCAAATGATATTTGGAACTAATAATACAGGTGAAGAGTTTATTATATTCTCAGATCTCAGATAACGTACTATAGAAATTGCAGAACAGTGATCTATTTGGTAGATAAAAAAGGATTTGGTTAGAATTTTTGGTAAGTTTACTAAAAATCATCTATTAAGTCCTTATAAGGATCAACTAAAATGATGTAAGTCACAAAATTTAATAGGTAAGACACCGATAAATATTTGGTTAAAGATGGATTTACAAATTAAGAGAATGTATTGAGTGAGTGGCTTCATGTTGGAAATTAAACACTAAAAGTTTTTTCACTCTTGAAACCATATGAGAGATGAATGTGAGTTAACACAAAAAGTTATTTCAAAACACACACAATATTTGCATGTATATGTATATCGTGTGATATACGAAGTAATTTTTTGTATGTATGTGTGCATGCAGTAGGGATGGTTAATTACAATTATATCAATTTTTAATATTCATATAAATACATTCAAGTAGTGAATAATCCCGTGCATCGCACGGGTAATATACTAGTGTATAGGAATATAGGATGACTCAATAAATCTAATAGTGACAGTTGGTATTAAAACCGCGCCCGCCCTCCTCGATCAATTGGATCATGCACGCCCTTCGATCTTCCGAGCGCACTGATCTATAAAGACCTTGCGGCATGGAATTGAACCTTTCATCTTCGTTTCATTCACTGCACCTAATAGCTTCAAATCTTAAACCTTGGCCGGCCGGATCGGAATGGGTTCCCATGAGAAAGGAAACGCCTCCGCTCAACAGACCGCCACCAAGGATGAAGAAAAGCAGAAGCTGACTGCCGGAGACGTCGCATTAGGCGTTGCTGCTGTAGCCGGCGTCGCTCTGTTTTCATGGATCGGTTATAAGCTCTTCGGAGGTCCGGAAAGCAGCAGAGAAACCATGGTCGCTCCGGGTCGGCGGCCCAATCGTATGTTTCGGGATGAGTTTGAGAGAGACCCCTCCTCCTATTTCCGCAATCTCCGTAACAGCAAGTTAGTAGCTACCTACTTGATTGATTTGCATTATATTTGGGATGTTACAATTTACTTCTGTTCTAGTTAGCTAGCTCTGTTATTAGTGTTTTGGGATCGGAATGGTCTAGGGCGATTATTGCATTGTCTGGGAAGAAGTAATTGAATTGCTTGTTGTTGTTTTGAATGTTGCTTGCTGGCTGGATTGAACTTGTATTCTTTCCGTTTGTTATCCTCCCTTCACCGGTAGCTCATGATTGTGAATTTGTCAGAGTTTTCATTTTTAGTACACCGATTATAAGACCATCTCCCATGTTCTAGGATTTGCTTGCAATTTTTTAAAATACTTAATCTAGGAGTTTACTATTGGAGTTTTTTGTCACATTGAAAATGTAAAAAATGGATTTTTTTTTTACCTTTTACTCATTATTTTGTTGCATTGAAAATCATTTTTAATTGTTATGAACGTCTAAATTATTTTATTGAACATTTCAAAATAACATTATTCTAATATTTCTCATTCAACTTTGTATGAAATACGTATTTTTTAAATTTTAATAGTGAGATCTTGCATTTTACTCATTAATAAGAATGTTTTTAATGGAATTAAAAGATTGGGTTTGATTTGGTTTGAATTAATATGGTCTGGTAGATGTCCGTTTTACGTTTTATGTGACTTATGATTATTAAAGTTAATTTGATATGATTTGGTTTAGTGTGGAACTCAAATCAATCCAAAAAAAACACTATTGAATAAAATGAGGAATTTGTAAACTCATAAAGATTTCAAATTTGGATTAAGAATATATTTCATAAGTGAAAGCATATTTAAATTGTAGTTGTAAAAATAAAGAAACCAAACATATTTACTTTTTTGGCTATAAAGGCTAAACGTATTTACTTATGAATACACACACATACATACACGTGTGTGTGTGAAAGAGAGATATCAATTTTCATCCTTATCAAATAAGGTAAGCTACTTGATCAGAAATATTATTTTTAAGAGATCCTATATTTGAATATCTAATAGTATTAATTTCATTTTTAATTTCAAAAATATGGTGGTATAGTTTTCATCATTATATTAATAATTAAAAAATAAATTGTATGAAGATGCAGAAAATACGAAGTAATAAATTGTAATAAACCGTCACTATTAGATTTATTTATTGAGTCATCCTATATTCCTCTATACATTGGCGATTCATTCCGTGTGGGTTGTGTATAAGGCACACTGGTGTGGGTTGTGAGGTGGACCACTCTTCTCTAGACACTTGTACTCATTAAACCACATCACCTTTCCCCTTGATTGGGAGTATTTGCGTCATGGCCCAGGCCCCTCTAGGCAAATACACGTATTTGTACTCCAGGTACTGACACTTGTTCCGATATGAATACACATAAGGGGATTTCCCTTTTTTACCCTCGCACCACTCGTATTCCGCACAACCGTATGCGAACCTCCGTTGATTGCCTTGAATATCCTCGGGCCGGTTCGTCTTTCTTGGTAATCACTGTCATGGATTTTCAAAGATTGTTGATTTTAATGGTTTTCCATTCAATCTACTAGATTTTGAGGGACTTTTATCCAGTGTCTGGCTAAAATTTATTGGGGAGAATTGGAGACCCGCTGCGCTAGATGGGAGAGAGTAGAAGCCTGGGTTGAGTAGGTTATTCGATGGAGATGATTCTGAAATCCGAGCGGGTGGGTGAGATTTTCTATGTAGTGTTTTTTTATCATTCCATTCAGTTCCGCGAAAATCATTCCAATAAATAAAGATTGAAGTCTGTAGGTGGGTTGTTTGAAGGCACACGTATTCCAATACATTTGCCTGTGCATTGGAACAACATTGTGCTTCAGTGGATAGTGTGCCTGTTACTATTTTGGTGTTCAATTTCAATATAAATTTGAAATCTGAAGTTTTCTTTTCCTGATTTCTTCTCCAAGAAGTTGTAAAAGATCTCGAAGTTGAAGCAGGAGAGATTTAGAAGAAGGAGAGTTATTATTCATTCTGAATGAGAAGGGTACAACAAGTGTATATACACATTTAGGCTAACAGTATTACAGTTGAGTCTATAACAACTTGTCTAACAAGACTCTAACTAACTAAGCACATCTGCAATTTGAAAAGGTGCAGGAATGTGATAGACTTCCAGTTGTTTCAAATGAACTCTTTGTCGAACAATGTATAGATCAAGCTCCATATGCTTGACACGAGAGTGTAGAACTGGATTGTGAGCTAGATTAACTGTGCTTAGGTTATCACAGTGAACTCTGGGAACACAATATGAAGCTTGAATATCTTAAAGTAAGGACTTAATCCAAAGGATCTCTCTGTGGTATCTGCAAGACTTCAGTTGATGATCTGGCAACACAGGCTCTTGACCACCATGAAATAAGATTAGGACCAAGAAGAGAGAACAAGTATATCATCAACATAGATGAGAACATAGATTCTAACACTGTTGTGAATGAAAATAAGAAGCCTGTTTACATTTGAAAATGCATGCAGTTACATCAGAATTTCCCTAAAGTTACATATTGTATACGGCGCGTTACATGTCAACTTTTCTTAACAAGTTACATCATGTTTACAATTGATTTACAATTTCTAAAACGCGTGTTACATTACAATATAATGCGAGTTACACAACCTAATAAGTAATTACCCTCTTCTATTCCAATATCATGTGGATCGGTGTTTAGGACAACTCTTGATCAAGTCTTCTTTGATTTGCCTCTTCTAACTTCTTCTTGGCCTCCTCCTTGGCTCTTGCTTCTTCTTCCTTTCTTTTCTGATATCTTTCTCCTCTTGAAGTAGTGTGTTCTTTCTTCTTGTCTCTGCTCCTTTCCTTGCTGCGAGCTGTCTTGAAGAGGAGGGTACTAAATGGTTGGAAGCAAGTTGCTAGTGACTTAGCAATAGGCACTCTAAGGTGAAGGCTGTTTGAGAGTTGGGTTGTGGATCGGTGTTTAGGACAACTCTTGATCAAGTCTTCTTTGATGTGCCTCTTCTAACTTCTTCTTGGCCTCCTCCTTGGCTCTTGCTTCTTCCTTTCTTTTCTGATATCTTTCTCCTCTTGAAGTAGTGTGTTCTTTCTTCTTGTCTCTGCTCCTTTCCTTGCTGCGAGCTGTCTTGAAGAGGAGGGTCCTGCTCGAGTGTTTTCCCTCTTTTGGCATCATCAGGTTGATCTTGAAAGAGTGTTTCAATATCTCGGCAGTAGCTTGAGCAGTCATCTCGGCAGCAGTCTACTTCCCACCCTACTGCTAACCATACTGCTAAGTAAACTGCTTGGCTAAACACTTGCTTAAAAAGACATCTCTATGGTTTAGAAATCATCTACACTCCTCATAAATATCCTAATCCAAACAGAGGTCTCAAAATTATAAACTTTTTAGCAGCGAACCAGAGTAGATGCTGCCAGGCTGTATTTTTTAATTGATTAATTGATCCAAACGACGTCGTTTGGATAAGTGCACAACATAATAAAAAACGACGTCGTTTAATACTTTCCCTTAAGCATCTTAAGCCCTTTACGCGTTGACCACTTCACTAGGTTCCCCAATCGGCCAATACCTCAGCGGCTCAGCCGCTCAATCGTAAAACCAAAATTCCAGCTGTCCAGGTCTCCAGGCAGTCGTCCTTCATCGGTCGCAGGCTCGCTGCTCGCAGACTCTCTTGGCGCTTCCTCGGCAGTCGGCGGCACCGCTAGCTTGTTAGGCGCCATCTCTTCCCGGCTTCCCCTTCGACCTTAGACTCCAGAAGAGTGAACCGTCTATTTGGGTAAGTTTGGTATTACTTTAAAAGTTGAATAATTTTTTAATTACTTTAATTTAATTGGTAATTTTCTGTATATCTTGAATTAATTACTTACGGTAGCATTGAATTTGATTAACTGCTTTTAGGTGTTAAATAAATTACTCCTTTATTAGACAAGTTTATTGATTTAATACTTTAATTGCTTTAAAGTTTATTTGATTAAATGATTGAATTGGTATAAAGTTGGAATTGTTTGTGCAATTTTTTTTATTACTTACTCTCATTGATATAGTTGCTTTAAATTATAATTGATTGATTGGTTTAACTCTTTAAGAATTTAAATTTGAAAACTTTGTTAACTTGTTAGGTTACTCACGTGATCATGTCTATTTTACAATTTGTAACTCGAGGCGGTGGGTCTTCTAGACGAGATAATGAAGAAAATAATAGAAAAAAACATTCTCGTGTCGAATTCGATCCAAATGACGTTGTGTTTGATCCTGGATTACGTAAACCAATCAAAGATTATAATTCTTTTATTAGAGACCGGGTTATGAGAGAATATTTAACAAGAGGTCTGTGTAGGCCGATCGGCCATGTGGCCCATGTATATCCTAAGAGAGTGTATGATGAAGAAAAGAGAAGTTTTCAACCTGCTTGGTTTGATAAGTATCCATGGTTGGAGTATAGCATTTCAGTTGAAAGAGTCTTTTCTGGCATGAAAATGATCAAGACTTATTTACGGAGTGGAATGGGAGATGAATGGATGAATTACAGCTTGGTGATATACATGGAGAAAGAAATTTTTGCTAAAATTGAAAATGAAGCTATTTTGCAACGTTTTCAACATATGCAGACATGCTGCACACAATTGTCTCAATTGCCTTTTTCTTCTAACATTTAATTGTAATGTAATGTACTCTTCTCAAAAACTTTATATTAAGTGAACTTTAATAACATTTTTTTGCATTTTATAATACTTTTAGCCACCCCTTTGTCTTCGTTCTGGTTCCGCCACTGAATCATCTCTACTCCTACTCCTCAAACAAACAAGAATGGCATCTCTTAAACTCATGGCTAAGAAGATCTACACCGGATCCATTCTTGACACATCCATAATTCTGAAGAAAGCTAACAACAGTGACCTTATGAAAGATCTTCTGAGAAAGCTTGATAGCACAGGTCTACTGAAGATGGCTACCTACCCATATCCATGCTTCTATCCCGAGGTAGCTGCAGAGTTCTACCCCAACTCTACCAAAGACACTCTCAAATCTTGGATAAGGGGCAGACCTGTAGAGATTGAAGAAGGAGATATCAGAACACTGCTCTCCCTTCCTGGAGATGAAGCTCCTATAGTTGAAGACTTTGAACTCAACGAACAAGAATTCAAAGACATGGCGTTACTACCAAGTGCACGCAACACACAAACTCTCAATCTCAAGACCAACAAAATGGTGTATGAGTATGCCCTTCTGCTAAGCATACTATACAAGTGCATAGACGCCAAAAATACTGCACTTGATGAAATAAATCACAAAAGAGCAACTCCATTGGCAGCAATCATCTCAGGGTCACCTTTCAACTGGACGAGGTATGTCTTCAACAACCTGCTAGCGTTTGTGAAGAAATACCACGACAGACCAAACAACACCATGCCCTGGCTAGGGTATGGTTTTCTCAT